GTGAAGCTGATGCTTGAGATTGCCGTTTCATGCTTGGAGGAAGATAGGAGCAAGCGGCCAAACATGAACTCAGTTGTGCAAGCACTCATCTCGGTTGAAGGTTAAAGCTATGTGTCATCTAGTGCATTGTTAATATGTATGTGTTAATTAATTGTTATGTGATAAGTAGTTTTAATCTTAGATCCCTTGCAAGAAGTATTAGAGATTGATAGTGGCTATTTGTATTCTATGACAAGTTTAGTTTCCATAAACTAACTCGTATTTTTAGATAACGATATTTCATGAACTTAGATTTATTTAATTTAAGGGATTTGCTAAGTATTTGATTAAAATATTTTGCAAAAATAATCATTTTTTCCTTAGTATTTATCCTAGCTTCTCAGGGAGCATGTGGTAGGGTAGGGTAAGGGCAAGGGCGGGAGTGGGGGTGTGGGGTGGTGGGATTTTCTTTGGCTCAAGAGATGACTAGTACATGGCTAGGCAATGTAGTGAGAAAGGGATGACATGGCGTCACCAAAGCTATGGGCAAGGCAACTGGTAGGACAATAAACTCGATGCTTGGGCGGTGTCAAATTCGATAGTGTGACTAGAGAGGAGATGAGAGATTGGAGAAGGGGGAGAAGAGCTTGACTGAGAGAACGGATGTGGTGTGGAGACTAGGAGAGATCGATTAGGCAATAATTGCAAAATAAGGAGAACATTGATGAATGGTATAGAGAGATAAAGAGTGATAATGGTCAATGATAGTTCCAAATGGGAGGGTGTAGAGTTTTGAGGATTAGGACTAATGAAATATATTTGTGTAATCAAAGAACCTTTTGTTTTCTAAATGATTGATTAAATCCAACAATCTTCATGTCTGGGATGCATCTATTATTTAATCCAGACACGAGTGTGATCCAATCTATGTAGCCAAACATTTGAGTGTATAGATCGACTAGTAATTATCTATTGTTTTTATCGATTATTACTATATTTTCTTTATGTTTTTAGTGGCCTAACATTAAGACCAAAGTTTGAAACAGATTATTAATTGAGAGTATTGTTAATACATATTATCTACTTGATTGTAGGAAAAAGTTAAATATTTTGATAAATAATTTTTTTTTAAAAAAAACTTAAAACAAATTGATCTGAGGAATACAAGTTTTCGAGAAAATGTATTTTTTAAAGTGTGAAGCAAATAATCTGAAAAGCATATACATTCACTGATACGTACGTGTTCGATGCGGACACACGCATCCGATCGAGCGTGAACGTGAACACTTGTGTTCACAGCGAGTGTTCAGAATGGATTGTTCATTGTGACAGGAAGCCTGAAAACATATTGTTGGATAAGGATTTGGAGCCTAAGATTACCGATTTTGAGTTGTCCAAGTTGCTGAACAGAGATGGTTCATATGCGATTTTGACACGGATCAGGGGGACAAGAGGGTACATGGCTTCAGAGTAGGTTACTAACTTAACGGTTACAAAGAAGATTAATGTGTATAGTTATGGAGTGATACTCCTTCCGTTAGTAAAGGTGATTAGGATTTCAGAATGGGTGATCTATGCGATCAAGAATTATGAGATGGATACTAGGATGGTTGTTAGGGCGGCATCTGAGAAATTGGAACCCAATGAACGAAGGTCTATTGAGGATCTTGTGGACCATCGATTAAATGGTGATTCCAGCCGTTGGATCCCCTCGCCATCGCCGGTGCATCTCATCTCTTTTCTTCCCCTCCCTTTCGCTGGAGCCCAAGCTGTTTTGTGCGTGTAGAGAGGTGGCCCTGACATGTAGGGCCCACTACTTTTTTACACGTGGTGAGCTACTAAACCAAAACCAGCCTACAAACCACCAAGGGTGTAATGTATCCACCATTGATAATTAGAGGATGTTAAATTGCTGATTTTTGAAGTTGGAGGTATATTTTAGACAACGTGATGCGTTGAAGGGGGTAAAATAAGCTTATCCCAAATGGAAATCACATTGATGTTTTGATGACATCCTTAGGCCCAACTGTCATCCATAGATTGGATGCTACTTTCTGATTTATACATGTCTACTATGTTATGGAGGAACATTTACAGATTTAAAAACAAAAGGGTAATATTTGTTCTGTTGTAATTATTTTTAGTTTATTTGTATGTGCAATATGCTCTCAACTTTTCATCACTAAAAAAAGGGAGTTAAGAGATATTATGAACAGAAACAAAAGCTACCATCTCTCCTTTTATTACTTGCACCATGAAATTTACAAGACATATTATGCAGCCGCCAAATTTCTAATTGTTTATTTTTCCATTGACCAGGGTAACTTGACTAGGTTACGGAAGCAGGGGAACACGGTAACCTGCAAAAAGAAAAAAAAAGAGAAACATAAGTATTTTATTTATTGCAGAACAGGGAGAACTTTATCATAAGGTTAAATTAAAACAGATATAACTGTATGTAGTCAGCTAAATTAGTAGGAGTACGAATTAATAACTAACCTGCGCAGTTAGTCCCTGCGTGTAACGGATTGCCACATTCTTTTGCAACGTTAACCCACTTTGACAAAGCAATTTTAGCCTTGTCCGCTGCTGTAAATGTGCGACAGATGCAATTGATATCTGCGCTCTCCACTGTTTGGCAGCAATGTGAATGTCTTTTTGGGAATTGGTCACCCATATGTCTTTCAATATTGTGATAGCATCCATCCTTATTCATCACAATATTTTTCTCGTTCTCACAGCCTTCAGCTTGTAAATGGCTTGGAGAAGAAGAGATGGCTAAAAAGGCAAGGACGCAAAACACTCCTATAACTTTAGCACTAATCATCTTCTTGTAGTGGATGCTAATATTTTTGTGTTTGTTGATCAATATATGTGCAGCATATGCAGCACAAAATATATAGTGGTCATGCGAAGTCCTGTGGACACTTCATACTATTCACTTGTTTTTGAATATATACTATAAAAGATATCTAATGGCTAATGCTTGAACTTATAATATCTCCAACATATCTTAACATAACTTATAATGTGCATTTATTTATCCTTTTTTAAGAACCGGAAGATATGTTCATTTATTAAAACTATTGATTGATTGCTTGGATATGTTCTCATTTAATATAAATATGATATGCTAGTTGGATTATTCTCATTTATTGAATCTGCTACTACACAGTAATTTATACTCATTTATTATAGAGTAAATTTCACAAAACTATATATACTTTCACCAAATAATCGCAAAACTTAAATCATAAAACTATATATTTAATACTAAATTTATCACAAAACTAAAGGTTTAAGACTAAGTATGGCAAAACTATAAATTTAATAAGAAAATTATCACAAAACTACATATATGGGGTTCAAATCCTTAGCACTGATGTTATGTTTGAGTTATCAACGTCCAAGTTTTATAATTAAATTGACATTAAACATACGGATTTGTGATAATTTTATTATTAAACATATGGATTTATGATAATTTTATTATTAAATATGTAGTTTTGCAATACTTAACCTTAAACATGTAGTTTTGTGATAAATTTATTGCTAAATCTGTAGTTTTGTGATATATCATCTTAAATATGTAGTTTTGTGATAATTTAATCAAAGTATGTATAGTTCCGTAAAATTTACTCTTTATTATATTAATCTCTCTAAACACCATAGGATTGCTGAAAAGGTAGCACGCCACCTCATTGTTTTTTTTGGAAAAATGCCCTACACTTCTGGTTAATTGTGTTTCGGTTTCAGTTACCAAGATCCGTTCGATCTCGTGCTAGGATCGATCTAGCCATCCGCGTGGCCCCACGCGGCTGCTCTTTCGGAGCCATAGGATCGACGAAGCAAAACTGGACGGTCCAGATCTCTCGAGTATAGAAAACACAAAAACCCTAGACGCACTCGACCCAGCCGTCCTTGACGCCGCCTCGCACTCCTCGCGTTTCCTCTCGAAAGAGGCGAAGACGGCCGCGGAAGCGCCGATGCCTCTCCTACTTGTCTGTGTCGCCTCCACCGCTGCCATCCCTTTTCCTCCCCATTGCTCCAACCCCTATTTCTATCGAACCCCTCTCATATAGCCTTCGCCTCCTCCAGAATCTACAACACGGTGTGCCGCTGATCTGATTTTCCCCTCCCTCCTCACTAGTAACTACCAATAGACCATTAGAACTCATGATCCTGGTAAGTAGCATGTAGGGCTAACGATGTCCCACCTGACACACCGAACCAAGCTGTGGATTATTTGTGATTGATTAAATATTAGCTAATTAAAACTTAAATGGATTAGTATGATTTTTTTAAAACAATATTTCTATATACTTTTTTAATAAAACACATCATCTAGCAATTTGGGAAGTGCACGCATGAAAAAAGAGAGTGTAGAAGTTGGGAAAGTAGGGGGATTAAAATATTCCTAGATTGAGTTCTTTCTTGGTGTTGGGAACTCATCCCTCGCGCATGAAAAATGAAGTGACTTATTAGCGCATGATTAATTAAGTATTAACTATTTTTTTTAAAAAATATTAATATGATTTTTAAAACAACTTTCATATATAATTTTTTTTTTAAAAAATACACTATTTAGAAGTTTAAAAAGCATGTACGTGGAAAACGAGAAAGTTGAGTTTAGAACTTAACCGAACTCAACCCTAGTGATGTTGTGAAGTCTCTATTAAAAAAAATAGAATGATCCAAAGTAAGTTGTCTTGACTACTGTGTGGACAATAGGTTGCATGGTGATTTTAATATTACCAAGCAATTTACAATATTGAAAGTGGTTATCTTGTGGTTGTGGCTAGAGGGAGATCCAAAAGAAATGCTATAAAAGTATAGATTGTTGCATGATATGAAAATAAGGATTTCAATCCGTAAGCCCCTCTCTATGTATGATGGGAAAATAATTTGTGAAAAGTTGGCTTAGATATTCATCTAACTTAGAAATATTCAGTTGCATTTTTTTAGTTTTAATCATTTGCTAGCATAATTTCAGTACTATACTGATGTTTATCAAGTTGTCCTTAAGAACCTGCACTCTCTTACAATCTTCCAACTAATAAAGTAGAGTGCTAATGAATTTGCATAATTTTTACAGAAAGGGTGAAATAGATAAAGAGTGAACTTCATATTAAATCTCAAATACTTGTGTTAGAACCATCAGAATTAGGTGAAGGCATGAGCTTCATCTTCAGCGGAAATGAGCATTTGTACTATGTACTTCATGGTTGGCCTTTTGTTTTTATCTTCTTCCAAGCATGAAACGGCCAATTGCATTAGTAGCCTAGCCTGCAAATGATTAAATTCACCATGCAACCGATCATCCATCAAATCCGCAACCCAGGATTCCATGTTGCTCTCAAGTTTGCTGACAACCATCTTAACCACACTTCTCACGTCGGCTTCTAGTCCCTCTTTCCCATCCAACACCCAGTCTAAAATCCTCATCCCTTTCACCAGTTCAAGAAGCACCACTCCGTAACTGTACACATCAACTTTCTCTGTGATTGGAAGGCTAGAAACCCACTCAGGAGCCATATATCCTCTTGTCCCCCGAATCCGTGACATGTCAGGACCAGACCCGTCTCTATTCAACAACTTGGACAAGCCAAAGTCAGTGATCTTAGGCTCCATATCTTCATCTAATAGTATGTTCTCCGGCTTCATGTCGCAATGGATGATCCACTCAAGGCACTCATTGTGAAGATATGCTAGCCCCTTGGCAACACCTAGAACAATGTTGAACCTTTGCTTCCATCCAAGAAACATACCGGAATTCCTCCCTTGAAATAGTACTTTGGCCAATGATCCATTCTCAATGTATTCATAGACTAAAATCCTATGTATTCCTTCTAAGCAAAAACCCCACATTCTAACAAGATTCATATGATAAATTCTACCAATAACACTCAACTCAGCCTGGAACACATCCTCACTTTGCTTCACATCTTGTAGCACCTTGACCCACCACGGCCGATCTCACTCTGAAACTTTCTAGTTCCCTTCTGTAGCTCTGCGTAGCTATATGTGCGAAAATGGTTGGTAACCATCCTGTACCCTTCATCTAGTGCTGAAACCTGACATGGCTTAAAAACTCCCTTGTTGGAAAAGAGCCAGCAACCGAATGCTATCACAAACACTTCAATGACAAAAAATGCAGTCAGAAATCCGTAGAAGTAGAACCATATCGACTTGCCCTGATTACTTTTGCTCGATGACGCATTCGAGACATTGAGCAAGAACTCCGGTGAGCTCATGCCACCGCATCCGACGATGTCTTCCTGAATGGCGGCAATGCCGTGACCATCGCTGTCTGCTTGCCATTGGTGGATGTGTATTTCTAGCATGTCAAGATCAGCCGGGACCTTGAGATAGGCCGTCCCAGGCAGGCCGGGGAACGTTCTGCCATTGAACATGAGGCTTTTTGGGTAGCACTCACCTTTGCCCTGCTTGTACTGGAAAACCACGCACGACGGCTCGCTCATGCACCGTGTCGAGCACTCGTCCAGCGACAGGTTCTCGCTGCTGTTGATGTCGAAGCCCCAGAAGTCGGTGTGCGGCAGCGGCACCATCTTCATCGCCCGCGGCTGGCCGCCGTCGTCACTGGAGTTGAACGTCGGCCGGCAGCCTCTGCTCCAGTCGCTCGGTTCGGCGCGCCCGTACCCTGGCGCGCAGACGCACACCGGCGCCGGCGAGTAGAGGCACACGGCGTTGGCGCCGCACACACCGTGGATGATGCACGGGTTGCTGAACGCCATCCACGACACCGACCATGTCCCGGTGACCTCGTCAAGGCTGTACAGCCTGAGGTTACCATCTGTGTCCAGCGTCAGCCTCCTCCTAACGGCGACATTCTTGGCCAGATCGGAGGCGTCGAAGGTGGCGTTGTCGCTGGACGAGAAATGGCCAGAGGCGTCGAAGAAAGCTTCCCGGGTGAAGTTGTAGATCTTGCGACTGTTCTGCCAGTAGCTGTAGTAGGGGTTGGGCCAGTAGATGCTGGACATCTCATGGTTGTCGTACACCAGCGACAGCATGGCGTAGTCGCTGAAGCGGAAGCTGTAGAAGCCCGCGGCGAGGAGCTTGTCTGCCGAGACCATCGCCTCGCCGGCGGCGATGCGCTGCGTAGGCAGTAGTGTGTCGGTGGGGTGGTCGAAGCTCTGCCATAGGACGTTCCCGCTCGCGTCCTCGACGGCGAGGTTGCCGGAATCGTGCAGCCGAGCGCGCGCAGCTGTGGCGGTGGCGGTGGCGTTGGCGCTGACGGTGGAGTTCCAGACCACCTCGCCGTCGTAGTCGGTGAGGACGAGCGCGCGGCGGCGGCCGTTGAGTTTGAGACGGGAGCGCTTGCTGTGGACGGGGCGGCCGCGGTTGGCGGACCAGACGACGGCGCGGTCGGCGGCGCGCGCGAACCAGACGGAGAAGGTGAAGACGGTGGGCGAGACGACGTAGAAGCCGCAGGCGAAGGTGCCGTCCGGGGAGAGCAGGACGTCGGTGGCGTGGTCCTCGACGGCGATGGAGGCGCCCCGGAGTAGACTGTCGCGCGCCGCCGCCGCGCACGGAAATGGACGCGAGAGCGAGACTACGAAGACGGCGACGACGAGGAGTAGCAGCGCTTTGGTGGTGGCTGCGCGAAGGGCACCGCTACAGCTAGTGCTCATGGCCGTGCCGGTGATGGTAGGTGGCGAGGAAGCCATACTTACTCACTGTTGAGCTAATTAGACAGATTAACTACTCCTAATTAAGAAATGCTTGATCTGACAGACAAACCTCGAAAATTAAGAAGCTAAGTTTGACTCGCACTGGCCGACAACGACCTGCTTTTCCTGAGGCAACGGATCGATCGAATCCAGCGAGTGGTTTTGGAAGTTTGTAGGGGAGATGTATGTACACAGACGTGCAAAGAGGAACAAACATCATATAACTTTCTCATCCATTTGTCGATTCCACATGGCTTCATCTCTTCTCATTTTCCCACAGGACTTGTTTGTTAGATCTCTAACTTCCAAAATTTAGTTTTAAGAGTTGGATCTGAAATAAAGTTGTGAAGCTGTCTAAACCCAACTTCAACTCTCTAGTTCATTTTATAAGAAAGCTCCACCAGCTCTATTCTCATTTTAGGTAGAGCTGAAATTGTTTGGCTGAGCTTTAACTCTCATTTCTTGACGACTCTCGTTGCATTTTTTACTATTTGTCTAAGATTTTAGTATGTCAGTTGGTACTGACAATACACATAATACAGTCCAACAAATGCGTGTGTAAATGCAGATAACTGTGGTCGCTTGATTTGATCGTAAAAGAGAACATTAACTTCAATCTAGAGAAAACATGGGCACCTTGCACTCGTCGGTTATCAGTCAGTCCTGATAAAACTGCAAATTCTATCTCTTTACATAAATTATCAACTTGCACATGGACTATACGATTCTTACCATTGATGTCTATTTTTGTCAGTTACAACCTAGTAATCTTGACTAATCGTTACAAAGAGAGACTTCTTCATGTCAAACAGACAATGACATCCAATGTATTTCCTGAACCTGAACGCACAATTTCTATCCTACATCACCATATTTATAGATAATTCATTAGGTACTTATTATATTTGTCCGTCAGAGGAGGTTACATACTATTATTATCATCATCGTTATCAAAGAGATTGCAATCTTCAGCGTTATCCATAAAAGATTTTCATCAGAATCAGCTTGAGATCATTCATGCGCTGGTTCTTGAATATTTCAACGCACAATGCCCGAAAACGTTTTTAGGTCCAACGCCTTGTTGGACTACACTTACACTGTAACACACAACTCAATTCATTGGACTACACATACACTACAATACATTGTGTTTTTTTTTTTGCCCTCGCTTCTAAAAAAAAAAAATCATAGCCAATGTTACTTGTCACTACTCATCCTCTCATCTAATTTCCGAGATGGGACTAAGGGTCTGTTATGGAGGCAGAATCATAAACTCCCCCCAAACAATTCAACTTTTGATTCAGATTCTGAGAAGCTATAGTTGTAGAATCTACAGAGTTCTCAGCTTTTCTGTAGAATCCAGAAAATGAACTAAAAGCCAAAAGATGAAAAACCCAGCTTTTCTACATTCTCAGAAACTAGCTACCTAGCAGTTGTTTCTCAGAATCTTAATCTCCCCCAAACAGGCCCTAAGGTTATGTTCGAACTAGATTTTAGGGTTTAGCTTATTGCGTCATGCGAAATGGGACGAAGTCATTAACACGTGATTAATCGGATATTAATTATTATAAATTTATAAAATGGATTCATTTGTTTTTTTAATAAAACAAACATCTACAGAGAATACTTTTGCACAAAACACACCATTTACTAGTTTAGAAATCGTGCCCTTAACTAGTAGATGAAAAGAACTCAACCTAAAGCTAAAGCCTAAAGCTAGCTCGCCAAAGGTTCAGTTCTTTGCTTGGCTGCTCGCCAAGGAATGGTTGCCGACATGCAAAAACCTGCACTCCAATAACATTGTGCCATATGCCCTATGCGTGATTTGCTCCTCAGAGGTGGAAACTACGAGTCACTTCTGCTTTCACTACCCCTTCGCAGCCAGTTTCTAGGTAGCGGTTGGGATTTAGCCTAATATCCAGCATGTCCAGAATCTTGCATCGCTATCCCCCTCGCCGGTTATTCCAGTGGCCCACTATAAAACTTTCTATCTACTCTGCCTCTAGAGTTTATGGAACCACCGGCATGAAGTGATCTTTCGTAATCTGCAATCCTACTTGCAACATCTCTTGTGGAGGTGTCTTGACGACTGTAATCTCTGTTGAAGCGGTTGGATAGAATAGTTGTGTAAAGTTGGAACTCTGTCTTCTCTAATGCTATAATCTTTCAACATCTGTAATGGCTTGCCGCTGGCAATGACCGCCCCCTGTAAACTTGAAACTTTGTTTTCTCCCTTGGATAATGGAAGATTTAGGTGGGGAATCTCTCCTCTCCGGTGATTATTCCCAAAAAGAAAAAAAAAAGCCTAAAGCTAGCTGCCTGTTGTTGCTGTGCTTCACGCTGGCTACTGCTGCTGCTTGCAAGATGGGCTAAGGGCCTAGGGCCTAAGGCCTATCGATGCACTTTAGTGCTGCTGCTGCTCGCAGGGCCTAAGGCCCACAACCCAAAGGCCGGCCACCTCCCCTCGCCTCGCCGTCGGGCCTTTTCCCGCCTCCTCCCTCTTGCACACGACGGCTTCCAGCGGCTATCGGAGTGGCCAGACTCCAACTCAAGGTATTCTATTCACTCATTCATACCTTCTCTCTCGATCATAGCCGCCTAGCCGGTATCCTCCTCCGCCGCTGGCGACTGGAGCGGCGTACATTGGGATTGCTGCTCATCCATCCGCACTCGGATTGATTTCCTTTTGTTTGTTGGTGATGAGACTCTGCTGGAATTTCAGCTAGCTGAACTGAACCCCCAATGCACCGCGTTTGCTCAGCACCTCGGGCGGAGCCGCCGTGCCCGTGCCATGTCAGAGTAGGGCCTCCTTTGCCGCTACGGGTTCGGTGGCGCCGCGCCGAGGCCCGGCACGGCCCTCTCCGGGCAGCCGACCAAGAGCAGCTTCTCACCGCCCTGCGAGAGCAGCCGGACCCCGACACGGTGCTCCGGATGCTCAACGCGGTGCTGGCGTGGAACGACTTCGCGCCCGGCCCCGAGGTCTACGAGGAGATCATCCGCAAGCTCGGCGCCGCAGGCGCCCTCGACCTCATGAAGGTGCTTGTCGCGGAGATGCGGCGGGAGGGGCACCAGGTGAAATTGGGCGTAGTCCACTCCTTCCTGGATTGCTACGCGCGACAGCAGCTGTTCGACGATGCCGTCGATCTGGTCCTGAATCAGCTTGACCCACTGTTTGGCATTCAGGCAGACACGGTGGTGTACAACCACCTTCTCAATGTTCTTGTGGAGGGGAGCGAGATGAAATTGCTTGAGTTGGTGTACTCGGAGATGGGTGCTAGGGGGATCAAGCCTGATGTTGTCACATTCAACACACTGATGAAAGCGTTATGCCGAGCACATCAGGTCAGGACTGCAGTTCTCATGCTCGAGGAAATGTCTAGCAGAGGCGTGGCGCCTGACGAGACGACGTTTACCACCCTGATGCAAGGATTTGTTGAGGAGGGGAGCATCGAGGCTGCACTGAGGGTGAAAGCCAGGATGTTGGAAATGGGGTGCTCGCTGACGAAGGTGATGGTTAATGTTTTGATTAATGGGTACTGCAAGCTAGGAAGGGTGAAGGATGCTCTTGGATATATGTAGCTGGAGATTGCCGATGGGTTTGAGCCTGACCAGATGACATATAACACTTTTGTTAATGGTCTCTGCCAAAATGATCATGTCGGCCATGCTCTCAAAGTCATGGATGTGATGGTTCAGGAGGGCCATCATCCTGATGTTTTCACCTACAATATCGTTGTGAATTGCCTTTGTAAAAATGGACAGCTGGAAGAGGCGAAAGAAATTTTGAATCAGATGGTGGATCAGGGTTGCTTGCTTGACGTTACCACATTCAACACTCTCATTGCTGCCTTATGCACATGGAATCGACTTGAGGAAGCCTTGGACCTTTCATGCTAGGTTACAGTGAAGGGAGTCTCTCCAGATGTTTATACTTTCAATATTCTGATTAACGCACTCCAAAGTAGGAGATCCTCATCTTGCACTTCGATTATTTGAAGAGATGAAGAGTAGTGGATGCACCCGGATGAAGTGACATACAATACTTTGATTGACAATATTTGCTCACTTGGGAAAAGCTTGGTAAAGCATTGGATTTGTTAAAAGATATGGAGTCTACTGGTTGTCCTCAAAGTACAATTACATATGACACTATAATTGACGGGTTATGCAAGACAATGAGAATAGAAGAAGCGAAAGAAGTTTTTGATCAAAGGGGATGGATTCTAATAGCTCGAGTGGACGTCCACCTGTTTATTGCATGTCAACTAAATGGCTACGGAAAATTTTCAAAAAGATTGGCAAGATAGATCAATATGTAATATATCACTCCACAAACATGCAAGTTAAAATTCAACTTCTACAAGTTGTAACAAAAATAACAAATTTAACTGTAAATATATATATAGTAATTTGAGTTTTGTTTGTTATTTTTGTTACAATCTGTAGAAGTTGAATTTTAATTTGCATGTTTGTGGATTGATACATTACATATTGATCTATCTTATTCATATTTTTTCAATTTTTTTCATAACCATTTAGATGACATGCAATAAACGGTTGGACATCCACTCGAGCTGTTAAAATAGTTTCCCTTTGATCAAATGGATCTGCAAGGCATTTCGAGGAATGCAATCACATTCATTACTCCCATTGATGGTTTGTGCAAGGCCAAAAGGATTGATGATGCTTTTGAGCTTATTAATCAAATGATAAGTGAAGGGTTGCAACCTAACAATATCACTTACAATTCTATTCTAACTCATTACTGCAAGCAAGGTGACATAAAAAAGGTTGCGGATATTTTAGAAACTATGACTGCAAATGGATTTGAAGTACGGTACTCTGATTAACGGTCTATGCAAGGCTGGTAGGACATAGGTTGCTTTGAAGGTATTCAGAGGTATGCGGATAAAAGGGATGAGGCCTACTCCAAAAGCTTACAATCTGCAATCCAGTCTCTCTTCAGACGGAATAATATCAGAGATGCCCTGAGTCTTT